TGGACAGATGGACAGAGCCGGGGCAGAGGGTGCTGGGCACAAGGCTCTGGATGGTGCTGGGTGCATCCCCATCCCTGGCAGTGTCCAAGGGACAGGGACAGGGCTGGAGCAGCCTGGGACAGTGGGAGGTGTCCCTGAGGGTGGCACTGGGGGGGGTTAAACTCCCTCCCAACCCAAAATCCAGGATTTTACGACCCCATGAATTCCCAATTTCCAGAACCCATCCCGCTTCCCATCTCTGCTCCAGGTGTTCCCATCCCTTCCCAGCTCTGGAATTTGGGGCTGGGGTTGAGCATCACTCACCCCACACCCAGCCCAGAGGATGAGGTGACAAAACAGGGGAACGGCTTCCCACTGGGAAAGGGGAGATTTGGGTGGGATTTTGGGAAGGAATTCCTGGCTGGGATGGCATTCCCGGATTTGCTGTGGCTGCCCTGGATCCCTGGAATTGCCCAAGGTCAGGTTGGACAGGAGCAGCCTGGGACAGTGGAAGTGTCCCTGACTGTCAGGAGGTGGCACTGGGGGGGCTCTGTGGTCCCTCCTGGTCCTGCAGACCCAAACCTTTCCCTGTAAACCCCTCCCAGCCTCTCCCAGCTGCCAGGAGAGGCCGAGATGGACAAAGGAGCCAGGTCCATGTGCCCGGGTTTAATGTGGGGAACTGGAGTGTGCTGGAATTACACAGGGAAATCTCTCCAGGAGAGCAGCAGAGCTCCATCCAGCAGTTCCCACACACCAACAGCCTTTGGGCTGGGTAAGAACATGAAAAGCTTCCTGGTGAGTTTGCCTCCAGCTCTGGTGGGTTCTGCTCTCTGTGTTTATCCCATTTTTTAGAGGATGGGGTAATTTTCCCTCAAGCTGAAGCAGTGAGTGGCTGGACTCCTCCTGAAGGTGTTTTCCAACCTCAGTGATTCCTGAATCTCTCCTGGATGAGCCATTGCTGCAACCTCTGACCATCCAAATGGATGGGACAGCAGATGCTGGGGTGGACCCCAGGACCCAAATGTCCCCATTGGGTCCCTCTGTCACCCAATCCCAGGGCTCTGGCAATGAGAGGGTGGGACACAAACCAGCCCCTTTGTGCCAGGGAGGGGACAGGAGCTGGCTGGGACACGGGGGCTCCTTGGGAGGTGAGCCAGGAATCCACCTGGAGGATGTTGGCCCTGCAGGGAGCTCCTGGCTCCTGCTGCAGCACCTGAGCAGCAAATCTCAGCAGCTACACCCACACTGAGTGTGATATCTCCTCCCAGGTAGACACAATTTAATCAAAATTCCTTGGATCTGCTTCCAGGTAAATATTTGAGATCAATCCCAAACTCCACCTGCTGCAGGTGGCAAATACAGAGCAGCAGAATCTATATTGGGGAATATAATTGTGAATACACCAAGATCTGTGCAGAGGGTGAGATTCCACCTGGTTTTGAACACAATTTAATCAAAATTCCTTGGATCTGATCCAGGTAAACATCTGAGATCTGTCCCAAACTCCACCTGCTGCAGGTGGGAAATACAGAGCAGCAGAATTTATATTGGGGAATATAATTGTGAATACACCAAGATCAGTGCAGAGGGTGAGATTCCACCTGGTTTTGAACACAATTTAATCAAAATTCCTGGATCAGCTTCCAGGTAAACATCTGAGATCCATCCCAAACTCCACCTGCTGCAGGTGGGAAATACAGGGCAGCAGAATGGAACAATTATATTGGGGAATATAATTGGGAATACACCAAGATCTGTGCAGAGGGTGAGATTCCAACTGGTTTTGAACACAATTTAATGAGAATTCCTTGCATCTGCTTCCAGGCAAACATCTGAGATCCATCCCAAATTCCACCTGCTGCAGGTAACAAATACAAGGCAGCAGAATGGAACAACTGGGAATTCATCACAGTTGTCACTGCAGAACCTCAAGATCTGTGCAGAGGGTGAGATTCCACCTGGTTTTGAACACAATTTAATCAAAATTCCTTGGATCTGATCCAGGTAAACATCTGAGATCCATCCCAAACTCCACCTGCTGCAGGTGGGAAATACAGAGCAGCAGAATTTATACTGGGGAACATAATTGTGAATACACCAAGATCTGTGCAGAGAATGAGATCCCACCTGCAGAACCTCAAGATCTGTGCAGAGGGTGAGATTCCACCTGGTTTTAAACACAATTTAATCAAAATTCCTTGGATCTGCTTCCAGGTAAACATCTGAGATCGACCCCAAACTCCACCTGCTGCAGGTGCTAAATACAGGGCAGCAGAATGGAACAACTGGGAGTACACCATAGTTTTCATTGCAGAACCTCAAGATCTGTGCAGAGAACGAGATTCCACCTGCAGAAACTCAAGATCTGTGCACAGGGTGAGATCCCACGTGCAGAACCTCAAGATCTGTGCAGAGAATGAGATCCCACCTGCAGAACCTCAAGCTCTACGCAGAGAATGAGATTCCACCTTGAAAACCTCAAGATCTCTGCAGAGGGTGAGATCCCACCTGCAGAACCTCAAGATCTGTGCACAGGGTGAGATCCCACCTGTAGAAACTCAAGATCTGTGCAGAGGGTGAGATCCCACCTTGAAAACCTCAAGCTCTATGCAGAGAATGAGATCCCACCTGCAGAACCTCAAGATCTCTGCAGAGGGTGAGATCCCACCTGGATTTGGAGCGAGCTGTTCCCTCCCCTACGACAGACAGAAAATCCCAAAATCCCCAGTATTTACCCCCCACCCCACCACCGCAGGACCCCAGAACCATGGAATCTCACCCACCTGGGACTGCCTGACGAAGATGCCGTGGTTCTCCTCGCACGTGAAGTACTTCCTGCCCTGCACCGTGCCATCATTCTTGCCCTTGGCCTCATCCAGGATGACCCCGACCCATTTGCCGGTGGCGAACAGCGTGGCGCCCACGTAGGCCACGGTGCCCCGGTGGCCCTTGCCGATGACCTCCACGCGGGAGCCCACCTTGAGGGGCTTGCTGCTGCTGTCAGAGCTCATCCTGGCCGTGCTGGAGGCCTGGCAGGGAGAAAAGAGACCCTCAGAAAGGTGGGGTGGACACAAGGGTGGATGTCGGGATGGGTCATCTCCGTCCGGCACCGCTCGCCTCCTCCAGCTTTTTATTTTGGGTGATTCCTTCTGCTCCCTTAACCATGCTCCATCTTTTCCCATTTTATCAGCATTCCCTTGGGTTTCCAGTCTGGGAATTCTGTGTCCAAGAGCACACAGCGGTCATTGTCCCATCCCAGGAGCAGTCAGAGGTCACTGTCCCATCTGGTGGCTCCCTGGTGTCCATAGTGGGATGGTTCATCTCCCTCGGGCCCCACTCGCCTCCTCCAGCCCTTTTAATTTTGGGTGATTCCTTCTGCTCTCTTAACCATGCATTAACCAGCTCATGGTCCATCT